ATGGATTCAACACTAATGATTTCAGAGAGGCTCCAGCGTTGCTTGCTTCCGTTGCTTTTAGCATTGCTGGGGTGTTCTAGTGGTTTCAGTGTGTGATTGTAATGTTGACCAGACCGCACACTGGAAGGTGAAGGGACGATGACGACGTTTCGGTCCGTCCTGGACCGTTCTCGAGTCGATTGTCGATTGATTCAAGTCAATCATTCACAGTCGACTTGAGAATGGTCCAGGACGGACCGAAACGTCGTCGTCCCTTCACCTAATAGTGTGTGGTCTGGTCAACATACTTTAGCCACGTTATTGTGACTCATCGCCTGCATGTGATCCTGAGGGCCGCTCCAAGCAACAGCCTGTTGGACCAAGCTCTCACAAGTCGAACCTGGCCTCGGGTTGGGCTTGGGGGAGTAGAACAACTCCCAGAACCCCATCAAGCAGATCATGATCTGGTAAGGTAGTTATACCGGGAAAGCGCTAAGCCAGTATGACTATATAGCACTCAGAAGGCCTGCAGGGAACACGGTACTCCAACAAGTAACTCGTGGGCCATCGGGGATTGAACTCTCGCCTGCAAGAAGCAAGCCCCCCCCCCCTTGATCTACCGACCAGTCCAAGTGGTTGGGTCTGTAGTTCGCTCTTCGGTTGACGCTGATATGGTTGGTGGAGACGTTTGTGCAGTTTGTAACTATGGAGCTGTAAAATCAATTCTTGATAAGTGAGACTTCTATGAAAGCTGTTTATATGGACAAACAACTGGATTTGTATAACCCCAAGACACGTTCTGGCCAGTCCTGGACACTTGCCCAGGGTGTGTGTGTTCATCTAGTTGTTCTTGCGGGGGGTTGAGCTCTGGCTCTTTGGTCCCGCCTCTCAACTGTCAATCAACTGGTGTACAGGGTCCTGAGCCTATTGGGCTCTTTGTGTGTGTGTGTGGGGGGGGGGGGGGTGCCAAGCAGACCATGTAGGGAAGTCGTCCGTTAGCAAGGACACGAGACCAGACGCTGGCACCCATTGGACCTATATTTGGTTGCTTCACCTGTCGTGCCACGCTTGGCACCCGCCTGGTGCCATATACTCTCACACACCTGGCCCTCTTACCAGGTGTATAATCGTAATCCAGGGGTTACGATGCCCCTGGGAAGGGGGGGTCTTAAGATTCGCTCATGTGCCTCGAACAGTCCCTAGGGGTACTTTACCGAGATGCACAAATGGATATTAATTAGCTTTCTAGCAACTTATGCAATACATAGGATTTCACAGAGGCTTAGTTGTTGCTTTTTTAGCCCCAGAATGAAACGAATACAAGCCACAGTGTTGTCAATCACCGCCCACATCATCAAAATACCTGCGAGAATCACCTTGATGGCAAGCACAACAAACTTTAGACTCCACATGTCAACAAATTCTTCCATAAATCAACATAAAATGTGATGCCCGATGGTGACAGATTCTAGTTAGTTTCGGGAAAGAGAAAACTACTCCTTTAAACGTAGTACCGTTCAAGAAGGTACTACGAAGCTACTACTACGTTCAAGAAGTAAGACCCGTTCTCATCTTGCTATAGAAAGGAGCAACCAAGTGAAAGATCTTGGTGATGCCGGAAGACTTAGCGTTTAGAAAATACAATAGAGGAAATACAATATTCGACAGCAAGGGAACTGATAAGGTGGTTATCTTGAGATGATTTCGGGGCTTTAGTGTCCCCGCGGCCCGGTCCTCGACCAGGCCTCCACCCCCAGGAAGCAGCCCGTGACAGCTGACTAACACCCAGGTACCTATTTTACTGCTAGGTAACAGGGGCATAGGGCGAAAGAAACTCTGCCCATTGTTTCTCGCCGGCGCCCGGAATCGAACCCGGGACCACAGGATCACAAGTCCAGTGTGCTGTCCGCTCGGCCGACCGGCTCCCTGGATATTGAGAACATTCAGAACAAGGGCTGCCACACTAGTGATGGTGCAGAAGGTAATTTTGCTAGGTCTTCGCGTGTCTTTACTAGGTAGGTCTTTCAAATCAGGCGGGATTGCAGTGCTAGAAAATATAGAGCGCGTATTATGGCCCGCATAGAGTCGGTTGAGCGCTTAAATTACCGATTCCTTAAAAAATACTCGAATTGTACTAGCTAAAAAGGGTGAGAGAGAGAGATGCGCACGCACAGTAGTTAACAAATGGAATGTATTAAGTAATGATGTGGTGGAGGCTGACTCCATACCCAGTTTCAAATATAGACTCGTAATTCTGAGTCCGCGCAGGACTCGTAATTCTGTGGCGCGGGTTCGATTCCCGCACGAGGCAGAAACAAATGGGCAAAGTTTCTTTCACCCTGAATGCCCCTGTTACCTAGCAGTAAATAGGTACCTGGGAGTTAGTCAGCTGTCACGGGCTGCTTCCTGGGGGTGGAGGCCTGGTCTAGGACCGGGCCGCGGGGACACTAAAGCCCCGAAATCATCTCAAGATAACCTCAAGATAGATATGATAGAGCCCAGTAGGCTCAGGAACCTGTAC